ACTGATACTCTAGAGATATTTTTAATTTATATGAGAGAAAATATTATAACGAATCACGAATAATAATTTAAATTATGACATGAATCTCTTTCTAAACGTTCAATTAGGCTTTAATTTTGAAGTATTTTTTTTTATCATATAACATCTTTATCGGCAAAATCTCATTAAAATGAATTGTTTTGATAGTTTAAAATACGACAGCTATTAATTTATATTTTGTAACTTTGAATTTTTAATTAAAAAAAGAGGTTACAATTGAATGTGGTTTGAATCTTGTGCGGAGCGCATGCATGGAGACTTGGAGAGTTACAACAGATCCTTCCACTGTTTCACATTGATCTTCGAATCAAACACGAATATTATGCAAAATCCTTTCGGCTTCCGAATTCATTACAAATTACAAATATATTATAAGTTAGAAAGCAATCATTATAGGGTGCGTTTGAAATTCGTTTCAAAATATTTTTGTTTTTTGTATGAAAATGAAAATGAAAATGAAAATATTTTCATTTTCATTTTGAAATCATTTCTGAAAATGCGTTTGGTATTTTTATTCCGAGATTATTTTCAATTTTAAAAAACTGAGATTGTGTTTAGTGGTTTAATTTTTAAAAACACGTAATAATATTTAAAATAATAATATAATAAATAAATATATTAAATAAACATTACATACATGATTTCTAACAGAGGAAATGGGTTTCGGGGGGGGGAGAGCGACTTCGTTGGAGACGGAATGGGAGAAGAGAGAGAAAAAAATGAAAAGGAAAATGAAAAACGAATGAAATCCGTTTTTAGAAAAAATGAGTTTTTGAGAAAAATCCAAAAACGTTTTTATTTTTGATTTTGGTACGGATTATTTCCAAACACATTTTCATTTCCCATTTTAATTTTTTCTTCTCGAAAAATGTGAAAAATAAAAATGAAAATGAAAACAAACGGGTATAATTTCGTATTAAGATTTAAGCCAGACAATTGTAGTTGAAAAATGTTGCTATTGCTCTATCAAATTTTTAAGGAATATAATATCTTTTTTTTTCGTTTCTTCCATGTGTTATTTTTAAGATGTAATCTTAGTTGTGCCCTTACATTAAAAAAAAAAAAAAAAAAAAAATCCTAGCAGGGTTGGTAAACGCTAAATTGTGTTAGATAAGAGAGCAAGAACCAAAACGAGGAAAACTTTACTAGCTCTAATCCTTTTAACTTTGCGAAGATCGAAATGAGAATCTTATTAAGAATTTTATATCTCTGACCCAATCTATCTTCTACTATGTAGCTTTTTGGATTGTAAATGTTACTCTGCCTAGTTCTGAGATGAATGTATTAGAAACAAGAGTACTATGGTATAATGTATGTTTAGCATTTTTAAAAGAGGGGAAAAAAAACAAAAACAAAAACAAAATCTCTTAAGGTCCGTTTAATTCACTAATTTGAGTTTTTAATTCGAGTTGAGACATGACTTTATGTGAGAGTTTTTTACTGTAGTAACAAATTTAAATGTGATTATTTTTGAGAGTTTTTTACTGTAACAAAATTTAAAATTTAAATTTAAATCGATAAAATGAACGAGATCTTAGTATTAATGACATAGGTCAAAATCATCGTCGCAATATTTAAAATTCCCAACAAACATTCTTGTCGTGATACATTTTCAGCACGGCCTGTTATAGCAAAATATTGATATCGGAATTTAATGAATGGGGGGGTCCCCTGAAGTGAATAGATATTATAGAGAAGGGAAAGTGCACAGTCTCGTAATATTCATATTGATATAAAATCTTACAAATTAATATGATACATTTGTCCTATGGAACTTTTTTTAGAAAAAATAAAAATAAAAAAATTCCCCTAATAATGACTGGGAAGGTTTTTTGGATCATTATGAGTAACATCACTGCATCTACCCCACCACTTCAATAGGTTTCCCTCATTTAAAAAGTACGGCGTGTATTAGTTACATATTGGAGGAATAATTCTACTTAATTTTTAAGGTTATATAACAAGATAACGGCTAAGAAGACAGTTTGATAAAAGAATTCATATTATAATTTAAATCATAATTTATAATTTATTATAATATTTTTTTATAAAAAATATACATAAATAAAAAATAATTATATATTATAATTTTAATTCACAAATCAAACATCAACTACGTGTTTAAAGTTTAGAAATCCTTTAGAAAAAATAGAAAAAATAAATAAATTAAAAAAATAGAGAGAGAGGAATGACAATGAAAGAGACAGGAACATATGTTTGTGCTTTGTGGCAATGCGTATACGTAGGTGTTAGAGAGCAGATTCCAAGAAAGAATCTATTCGCTATTTATGTTTCTTTTTATTTATTCATGCATGAGAAGGAATCTCAGCTGTCTCTGTGCATTGTTAGGTTGACCATTAAATGCTTCACTTCAATTGACAACTACTTCTCTCCGCTTCTTAGTCCTCGGTTGTTGGCTTGTTCTTGTTTTAGGATTCTCTCTCTCTCTCACTTTATTTCTACGGCTTGCAATATTTATAACATGTTTGTTTCAGTGCTCAATTTCAACTTGAATTGTGTATATAAAAATAATAAAAAAAATTAAATTTAAATTTTTATAAAAAAATAATAATATAGTAATAAAATTTGAATCGAGGTTTGAGTTGCGAAAAAAAGAGCTTAGATACTTAACAAAAAAATTTAAACATTTAGAAATTTTGTTGTTCTAGGTGGAGGACAAATCTGTTCTTTCTAGAATTTTTGTTCTAAAAAACCAAGATTCCACCAAAAAGACCCTTCATTCGCTCTAAAACAGTTGAGGTCTTGGAAATTATTATAAGAGAAGAAATTTGAATTCCGGATGACTTTTGGTGGGGTTTTTTTTTTTTTTTTTTTTTGGGTAGAAATAATATAAAAAACATTGAAGTAGTTAAAAAGATTCAGAAATATGAATAGCGTTCAGTTCATGACAATCATTACCCTTGCTCATCTTTTTATTATTTATTTTTTCCTATCTCCCCTTTTTGGACTGAAAAGTTAACACGTTTAAAACATGCCATAGACACTTATATTGCTCGTCCTTGATGGGCCAAAGTGCATGTGCTGTGCGATGCTTCTTTTAAGTCACATTCCTCTTGTTGTTGTTTCTATATTAATCTGTGCATATGCTTTTATTGCCATGATGTAAACATCTAAATATTAGTGTCCACTGATTTGGAATGCAATTCCCATTCTCAAATAAAAAAAAATTAGTGTCCATCACAAACAAGGAAATTTAACAACAAAAACTGTAGAATATTAAATAAATGGGAGCATAAAAATTACAACTTTTTTTTTTTTTTGAGGAATAAAAATTACAACTTTATGATAATAAAATATTTGTATATAATTTGAAAATATGGTCATTATTGATAATGCTCAATATTTGAATATATAAGCTCACAATCATAACATTATGGAAAAAATAAACAATTTTCAAAACGAAATTCTTAAAACAGACCATTATAATCATTTCAAGTAAATAAATAGTAAGCAAGCTCTGTAACATTGCCATGTGACAAAATTCTAAGAGAGAGACACAAATAAAGCAGTTAGTTAAATGGAAAATTCTCTTATTTGTCCTTTAAAAAAAAATTGTTATCGTGTAAAAAGATGTTAATTGGCTAAAAAGAAAATTGAATTTAAAAAGCTGTTAATTACTTCAGCTAAGTTTTGACGAGTGGGAGATGAGAATGCTGTGAGTCGTTGACAACTGTCACACAATCACATTAATATTTCAATCAAAAGATCTCAGCACAACTGATTTTACCATGAAGATGAACGATACGACTGAATGGCTTGTCCAAAAAGTTGGGCGATTTTGTTCGGTTCCGCACGGAACAAGCCACACGAAGAGGTAAAAGATGGTTCTTTCTCAACATTGAAAACCACCTATACAGGCCTTGTTATATCTTCTAGAAGTAACCAAGCTTTAGGACTTTTAAGTTTTAACTATGTTGTTGTTTTTTTTTTGTTTTTGTTTTTTTAAATATACAGAAAGTATCTATAAACAGATATATAGTAGAAAAATATCCAACCATATAATGTATGTTTCATCCAAAGAGCACGCCAGAATAAATTGTATAATGTTAAAAGAACCAATACAAAAAGATTTATCTAACTGTTTTAGAAGAAAAAATAAGACATATTTTACGATCAACTGAGGTGTTCCTCGTTAACAGCTTGTTTTGGTTTGCGATTATGTTTCTTTTTCTTTTTTTCGGTTAACAACTTTCTTTTTATTAGTGCTTGAATAATGTGAAAATTGTAAGTAAATAAAAAAATAGGGCCGAACTCAAACAGACCCTTAACATATTTCTTTGATTCAGGGACAATTTATTAGCAAGATTTTGTAAGACTTTGCCAGGCGATTCCAGCTGATTTATTGAATAGCATGGAAGCGTACGAGAAAAAGTACACTAAAAAAAAAAAAAAAAAAAAGAGATACAATCTTTCTAAAACAAAGACAATCTTATATTAGAACATAATAGTCTTAAGATAAATAACAAAAGATAATCCTAATAATAACTCTAGTAAGATAATAATAATTCTCAAAATATTTAAAACTTGTTCTTTTAGAGTTTAATTTGAATTGAACTTATAACTTGAATTTGTGTTTAGTTGTGTACATTTGAATTATAATTTGAGATAAGAATCTTTTTGAGTTCGTATTTGAGTGAGTTAAAACTTGAATTTATATTTAAATAGTATTTTAATAAAGACTCAATGCTGATGAAAAATTTCAATAGAGTATATGGATCAAATTTTATTCGTTTTTTCGTTGTCAACGCATAGAAAAAAAAATAATCTCAATCAGAATTAAAACGAAAAAGTTACAACATTTTTAAGAATAGAAAAAATACTGTTCATTAATTTGAGTTTGAGTTTTTAAACTCGAGTTGAAGGGAAAACTTAAACTCGAGTTTTAGTCCTAATTTGAACTCGAGTTTAAACTCGAGTTTAACTTAAAAGAACATGAACTCGAATAAAGTTGTAACTCGAGTTGTCTTTTTTTAAGTTTTTCACTCAAAAGAACAAACCCTTACTTTTGCCGCTGCATCCCTTTTGTCTTCCTCGTGCAGAAAGATCACATCCATTTATCAAAATCTTGGAGCTGCAGAAGACCAAAAAAAAAAAAAAAACAAAAACCACAAGGATGTCATATATACGAACACGCTAACAATACTAACACACAAAGCCACAAGACTTGAAAATCAAAAAACACACTCGCACAACCATAATAGTCTCACTTATGAAGCCCTTAGAGGAAACAACAATTTTTATATTTGATAATATCTATTATGAATTCATGGTATGCGACCTACCTCCTCCAATGGTTGCCTCTGGCAACCGCTCAATTGAATACCTGTGCCGAGAGAGATACATGATCGGCACACCAGGAATCTGCAAGTTAGCAAAGAGGATTACCGATTAGGGTCATGATCTCATGTCATACTGGACCAACTCTACCTGTAAATACTGATTCACTATAGTACCTTTCGGATTCTTCTCTTCAAATCCCGATCACAAGTAGCAACAATGAAGCATTTATGCTGTTTAAAGAATCATGCAAGTAAAATGGAGTTGAAGTGAGATTAATCGGAAAATCTGAATAGCATCAATGGCATTCAATAAAAATAACAAACTTGCCTACTACTTTTGGCTAACATTGGAAAAATAAACCCTTTTTTCCCCTTCTTTTGGGGGGTGTAGTGATAATCTAGATTGGGACAGACAACATAAAGCCCAAACCTAAAATTTAATAAATAAAGGCAGCAACATAAATCAGGAGTAATCTTGACAAATACCCCTTAAAAGCGCATGGTTCAGGATTTTTATCATTTATTCTTGATTCATAACTTTTTTAGTCAAATAATTATACTAACAGAAGGATATTTATCAAGAATGAGGAATAAAAATCCAGACTCGTAAATTATGCAATTTTCGCTATAAATCAGTCATTTAGTGATTGATAAGGATATAAACATAAGTGATGAAGTAATCAAGTTTTAAGGCCCGTTTGGAAGGTATACTCAAACCATGATTTTGATTCTGACGTTTGAAATTCAATTTTTCTGTGAGAAGAAAACACTGTAGCAGAATCAATGATTTGAGTTTGAGTATATGAAACAAGCGGGTCCTTCGTCTTAGTGTATTATAAAGACAAAAAGACGCTATCCAAAAGTGTAAAAGATATTTAAGCTGCAGTATCTACAAGAGTAGAAAATTCATCAAAAGGAAAAAGTAAGAGTTATTGTGACTGTTTAAATCATGCCTGGGTAACTGTTTCGACAACACAGTCATCGACATATGTTCCCGTGTGAAAGCAGGGTAATCTCTCAAAACGAGGGTCCTTAGCAATCCTTCAATGCAAAAAATGAAAATGCTTTTAGCGTTAAAAACACTTGACGTGCTTGAAGAAAACAATTCCTTAAATACTGCCCAATATATCTATATGTGAAGCTGGGATTATCTGAGGGCTAGAAAATACAAGAACATAAAGGAATTATCTGGCCAATCACACTAATAAAAGAAAAATAATGCCATGCCACAGACTCGAAAGAGATACGCATAAGAACAATAAGGAGTTGTTGCATGCTCTAGCCACATGAAGCAACAGGTACTTGTAAAGCACGGAGACGTGCATGGAAAACATTACATAGGAAACACAAGAAAAGATACAACGTACAGAACATACCTTAGAGCTACACGATATTTTTGACCTAACTTCTCAAGCTCTGCAATTACACAGTCGGTGATGCAAGGAGTGCCTATAATTCCAAAGATAGAACAATTAGACGAAACAACAAAGACATTCACCTTTCTACTATCTTTCCAACGACCATTTTTGACTTTTTACAAACCAACATAAGCTAAAAGAATCACGGTAGTATTTTCATAACCAATTTATTCTTTCAATTCCATTATTTAAAAATTGTGCGGATGTTAGTATTGACGTAAAAAATGTACTCACCAGAATAAACCTAACGCTGATTTGCAATTAATGAAAAACAAAAGCTCAGCCAAGTGAATTAAACACGAGAAAAAATTGATGTCTAGAAACTTACATTTTGCATATAAGCAATCCATCATGCCTTTCTCCAGATCCAACTACAGAAAGAAAAGCACGAATTTCATGAGTTACCAATGCCATATAGAATAAATGTTCGGGTAGCCATACAACAGGTCTTATCTTTTCACATCTAGCAGAAAATAACAAAAAGAAAAGAGGCTAAAAGAAAAAAACATTATTAGATATGTCACACTAGAAGAGCAACACAATTTGCTGGATCATTTATCAGATGATACGGATGTTTTTGAACTCACAGTTGAACACCAATCTTTAAATAAGAAGCTCCACATTAATAATTAAACAAGCAATTTAATTTTAAGAAGCTCCACATGAACAATAAAGCATGTATTTCACATTGTATAAATATGAAGCAAACTAGTAATTTAGGGTGTTTCTATGGTCTTTCAAAGGCCCGCCCTACTTTTAAAAATAATAAATCCGATTGTTCCGATACCGTTGATGACAATCTTTTACAATAATAACTCTAATTTCTTATTCAATGCATAATACTGAAATGTATAAACTGAGGAACCAAGTCCAAACGTAGTAAAACTGGTATGAGATAAACAAAATTCCTAGCGTTTTTGTTAGATAAAACATAAAATAAATGTCATGTTACAAAATTCGTACACAGAAACCAAATAAAAACACTCACTTTATTCTTGATTGAGAAATTGATGAAGTTGGTATCAACCAAAACGCGATAAGGCGGTCCCAAAGCAGTGTTATGTTTGAAGAAAAGCGCCGACGAAACATTTGGCCTAAATTTTACAAAACCAGAAGCGTAAAAATGTTAAAGATAAAATATTTTCAGAGTTTCAAAATCACAATAATCACAAAATAAGCACATAGTCATAACTTGTTTGAAGACTTACACATTTCTAGGGAGCTTTTCCTTGCTAAGATCCTTCTTATTAGGGTTCAGAACTTCCTCCTTATAACTGAATCCAACAGATTAAATTATACAAAAAAAAAAAAACCCATAAACGACTGAGGATTATAAACGTAAATATAAACGAATCCGAAGAATTTAAAATTCGGATTGAAAAAGAAAAGAAGGAAGAAATACATACTTTTTAATGGCTTTGGAAGTGATGACTTTCTTCATAATAGCAAATTTAGGAGCTTTCTTGCCCTTTCCCATGTTTTCGCCTGGGTTTGTCTGCAAAGATTTTTTTTTTTTCAAAATGTTTGTGAAAGCGATTGGTCTCTGAAGGTTGATCGACTACTGCTTCAAGAAAGCTCTTCAGTCTTTGAGTCGGTGACGGAGGGGAAGATGAAGTAGGAAATAGACGACGACACAGACCCACACACCCATTTATGCTAGTATAATTAGGGCTTGATTGGGCTTTTCTTAATGGGCTTTTCTTTGGGCTATTAAATCCAGTAGCCTACCTGGAGTCCGATTGAAATCTTCCCGACTATCGCTCGGTTGATTTTTTTATTTTTTTAATAGATGTAATAAATACTCTATTTTTTTTTATCTATTTCTGTAAATCGTTCATAATGAAGAAAATAGCTTAATTTGTTCAGTAGATTTACCATACTTCTTTTCAGTAAGTATGATATTTACTTGTAAGTATAAAATTTACATAAAACGGCGAATTGAATTTTTTTAGCTTAAAAAATTGGACCTATTCAATTTCTCTAAATTACTATATTTAGAGAAAATTATTGAACTTATCTTAAAGTGTATGAGTCTGAATTTACTCTTAATAAATATTGTTTTAATTAATATAGTTGTTTGATTAAAAATAATTGAGTCTTGTGAGTCAAACATAAAAATGAAAATTTGTCTCATTTTCTCCTTTCTTCCCCACTGCTAGAAATTATTTTCCTTTTATATAGGCTGCATTAGTACTTCATTGGTAACAATGTGTAGAATAAGAATGATTATTATTTGCAATGAATTTAAAATTAAAGCCCGTTTGGTATGAGAGTTTGAACTATGTGGGTTTTCAATTATGAGGGTTGAACCATGTGTGTAGTTTGAACCTTTAATTCAAACCAACCAAAACTAAAAGGAGGGATAATTCATGTTTTAGAATTAAAAAAGATTAAAACATCACGTCAAATTCAAAACTTGAATCTTTTCTTTTTAAACCAAACATCTTTTTAAACCAAACATTAATTTAATTGAGCGGAGTTCAAACTGCTTTTTAATTATTTATAAACAAACACTGATTTAAACAAAAATCATATTTTAAACATGAGAATGCCATAAAAATCTCATACCAAACACACCCTTGAGTTACCTAAATACTTTTTCTTATTTTTCTATAAGAATTATGTATTTTTTTTGAAGAACATATATATTTTGCTAAACAAAGGGACATTAACCTTACCGGCTTAACCCCACGAAAAACTAAAATAAAAGGGGAAAAGAAAGCAGAGAAGAGAACATTCTGATTCTGGACCGCTTCCTGTTTGGAATTAATTGACAAAAGTTGACATATTAAAACAGATTACATTTGTAAAAAAACAATCGATTATTGCATCTCTAAAGTCCATACAAAAAGGCATATTCAATCCCCAATCCCGCAATAAAATTCAGTGCAACATTTCTGAATGAGCACATTGGACAACTCTTAAACTCCCCACAGCTACGAGGCTACAATCTCCCAACTCTTATTAACGTCTACAGTCTACACAGTAAGTCCCTGTGGGCCAGCAGCCACTGGTGCCTTGGGCTTAGGTTTCTCTACCACGATGGCCTGAGTGGTCAAGACCATACCGGCAACCGAAGCCGCGTTTTGTAGGCCGCATCTGGTAACCTTTGCCGGGTCGATAACACCGGCCTCCACCAGGTTCTCGTACTTGTCTGTCATTGCATTGTAACCAAATTCCCATTCACTTGTTTTAATCTTCTCTACCACTACTTCGCCTTCGATTCCAGCATTTTGCGCTATCAATGACGCTGGTGCTACCAATGCCTGCAAGGCACTTCAGAGTCATTTCACAGCAAATAACACAGAAATATTGCCTTAGAGGAGGCAAAATATTATCAGCAAGGTAAAACTAAGGTTGCAACCAAATACCTTTTGCACTATGTCAGCACCTAGCCGCTCATCCGCATCCTCAAGACGGTCCTTGATTGCAGGGACAACAGTTGAGAGATGAACCAATGCCGCACCACCACCAGGAACAATCCCTTCCTCAATAGCAGCAAAAGTAGCATTCTTGGCATCCTCGATGCGAAGCTTACGGTCCTCGAGCTCAGACTCTGTAGCAGCTCCCACCTTAATGACAGCAACACCTCCTGACAATTTGGCAATTCTTTCGGCCAGTTTCTCCGAGTCATAAACGGAATCTGTCTCAGCCAACTCCTTTTTCAACTGAGCAACCCTAGCCTGCAATTCATCTTTTGATGCAGCATCAGCAATAATGGTGGTGGAATCCTTGGTGATGGTTACCTTTCTTGCTATACCAAGCTGCTCAACTGAAGTGTTTTCAACAAGCAAACCCAGATCACTGGCTTGAAACTCGGCTCCTGGAAAAAGGGGGGAAAACAAGGAGAGATAAGAAAACAGTCATTTAACAGCCATTTAATATTAGTAATAATATACGAGCTAACTAGTGACATATAAATATATGTTTACACCAGAAATTCGTTGATGCTCTTTCAACAGACACTATTAGTATTATCCAAATCCATATCTATCTCTATAAAACTACCAATGAATGACTTCTCGACAAAAGATATAACCTAACATAAAATGTCGGCCAGAGAGAATAAACTGCAGCCAAGCATTCAGTCCAAGGTCTGCTTACCTGTCAAAATGGCAATATCTTGGAGGAGAGCTTTTCTCCGCTCACCAAAACCAGGCGCCTTAATGGCAGCAACATTAAGTATGCCACGCAATTTGTTCACAACAAGAGTTGCCAGAGCCTCTCCAGTAACATCCTCACCAATTATAAGCAGAGGGGCTCTCAATTGAGTGGTTTTCTCTAACAAGGGAATTATGTCCTTGATAGCTGAAATCTTCTGATCAGTAATCAAGACTCTAGCATTTTCGAACTCAACAATCAGTTTCTCTTGGTTAGTAACAAATTGAGGGGAAATATAACCTCTGTCAATCTGCACAACATGAGAGCACCGACAGCCAAAGACCATAGAGTTAAATCAGACTTGCAAAAAGAGAGGAAAAAGGAACTAAAGGATGAACAACTCAAGCACAAATTATCATAATTAAACACACACCTCCATTCCTTCTTCAACCTCAACAGTCGTCTCAAATGAGGATGACGACTCAATGGACAAAACACCATCAGGGCCGACCTTGTCAATAGCATCGGCAATCATCGCTCCAATAAGCTCGTCATTACCAGCAGAAATGGTAGCAACAGCTGCAATGAAAAAAGTCATAAAATCATCAAATTTTAGGATTTGTTTATCAACTCATTAATAACCTAGTTTGGTAGTCAATCAGCCAAAAGAATAAGAAAAAAGAAAAATTGAAGGTGCACTACCTTTGATATCATTGCCACCTTTGACAGGTCTAGCCTTCTTCTCCAGCTCTTCTATCAATCCTTGTACAGTTTTATCAATCCCTCTCTTGAGCGACACAGGATTTGCACCAGAGGTGACACTCAAAAGTCCCAGCTTGATAATTTCCCTTGCAAGAACTGATGCAGTTGTCGTTCCGTCACCAGCAGAGTCGTTTGTTTTGCTAGCAACCTTAACCAAACCACATAATTGAAACAAGTCAACAACATTGCCATACTAAACCAAAACTAAGAAACAAATGTCAATCATTCATCCTTCCTCTGATATTAGCCTCTTCTTTTCGACATGTTTAAATGACATTCGACTAAAATAGCATTCGTATCATATAGGAACAAACCTCTCTAATGAGAGCTGCACCAGCATTTTCCATGGCATCAGGAAGCTCAATAGCACGAGCTATTGTCACTCCATCGTTAACTACTTTTGGGCTTCCGTACTCATCCAACACAACGTTCCTCCCTTTAAACATCAAGAATAAAAAACATCAATACCAGTAAAAATCGAAGAGAGTAAAACAAAACAAAGAGAGAAACAAACACGACATAAAATCAAAGAAAGTAGAAAAAGCTAGTTTACCCCTAGGGCCAAGAGTAAGGCCAACAGCATCGGTGAGCTTATCAATGCCGGCTTGAAGAGCTGCTCTTGACCTCTGGTCAAACGCAATCTCCTTTGCATTTGCCTTCACCACAAATCGACGGTTCGACTGCTTGTAATTCAGCCTGTTACTCTGCTGCTGATTCACCTTCCTCCTCAAGCTCTGCCACAATTCACATATGAACCAGAATTAAACACCGAAACCAATCTAAAAATGCATCGAGATCTTCAAAGACTTGAGATTTCCTTCGATTCCAGAACAAGACCTTAAACCCTACCGTAATTTCAAAACTTTGATAAACCTACTCAACTCAAAGAGGAGCAAATAAGAAAATTGGGGAAATCAACAAGACCTAGGCTAGTTGTTCCAGAACCGAAAACTCGAGTTCCTTGTTCGTAGTCTTTTTCTTTTTTTCCTCGAAAATAAACGGAAAATGAACCAGAAGAACAAACCGGCGAAAGTAAAAGTACCTTCTTGGGAGAGCAGAAAATGGACGCCGAGGTAAGAGCATTAGTCGACGCCATTGAAATGATTATGAAGAAATGAACACCGAAGCTGTTTTCTCTCTCCTTTGTATGAATTTGGGTTGTGAGGATAAGGGAAGACTGAAAGAGTTATTGTTAGGGTTTAGCTTTATGTTCGGTATGAGTGAAGTTCCAGAAGATTCTTTTTTAATTTATTTCCTCGTCACCTTCCAAAATAAACCTCAGAGTACTCTAGAATAAGCAGCCCATAAAATAAGCCCAATATTATACATGGGCCGGGCCACTTTTTAGGCCCGTATAATCCTATTTCCCCCATAAACGTTCACCTTTCCTTTTTTTTTTTGATGACTTTCACCTTTCCTTTTGTCTTCTTCTTTCAAGGACTCTAAAACTCGCTGAAACTGCTTGGTTCTCCGCCGTTTTGAGCCTCCCACCTGGCGCACCGCCACCGCCGCCGCTGACCTTCCTCGCCGGATATCGGATTCACGGTAATATTTACGTCGTTTTTGTTATTTGCCGTTGTCGTTTACGCTTTTCTTTTTCTTTACAGTGTTTTTGCTTTCATTTTTTTATTTTTGCTGAGAGTGTTTTTGCTTTCATAATTGTTGTTTGTATGTTGCCTTTGTGTGGAATATTCAGAGGGCAATTTTCTTTAGTGAATATGAAGAATTAATAGATTTCACATTCAAATTTGTCTAGAGAAAAGAAAAACAGTTTTTAGGTCATCTTTTCGTTTGATTTTGTTGTTCGAAAAAAAAAAAGGTGTAAATTTTTCGCAATTGTAAAAAGCGTATTTTTTCTTATTTTTTGCTCTATTTATGTTGAGAATTAATTGGTTAGTTGATATATTTTTTTTTCCTATTTGCGTTTTCTTCAGTTTTCAGCTTTGCTTGAGCGAATAGAAAGCTGAAACATCCATCGTATTTTTGATGGGTGAGAAACAGCAAGAAAATAAAGGGCGCAAAACTGAGAAGAACAAGGAGAAAAAAATTGAGCTTGAAAAGGATGAGATGGAATTTCACAAGTCTAAGAAGAAGGATAAGGTAGTTAGTAAAGATGCGATTTCTGATGATGTTGTGGGAGCTCTTAAAATAGCTGGTGTAGAAGGCAAAGAAAATACGAATGCGCGATCGAATGGCAGGAAGGATTCAGTTGATGATTCGGAAGAAAGAAAAGAGAAGAAAAATAAGCGTAAGGTGAAGAAGAAAAAAGAGGGAGTTGATGGAACATCCTCTGAGGTTGAAAATTCCGAGGCTGAGAAGAGGGATGAATTAGTTAAAGGGTACGAGAATCGCGGAGGCGTTCCTGTGGAGAATGGTGAGGAAGAACGGGCAAAAAAGAACAAGAAAAAGAAGAAGGAGAAGGAGGGAAGTCATAATGAGGTAAAGAACAGTATGACTAATGAAGAAACGGTCGCAAAAGAAAGAATGCATTTGGATGGAAAAATCAAAGAACATGGAAAGTTGGCGGTAAAGGAGAAGAATTTGGATAAAATCCGTGGTAACGCGCAGAAGGGCGCTGAAAATGGAGATGTTGCTGAGGTGAGCAATGATAAAGATGGAGGCAAAAGTAAGAAGAAGAAGAAGAAGAAGATAAGGGAGAGGGAAGCTGCGTTTGATGAAGTTGAGGATGAGATGGAAGTTGATGAAGAAGGGGACAAAAGTAAGATGAAGAAGAAAAGGAAGATGGAAAATGACGACGAGATGAAAACTAATGAAGAAGGGGATAGAATTAAGAAGAAGGAACGGAAGAGGGATAGTGTTTCTGGTGAAGTGGAAAACGAGATGAAAACTAATGAAGAAAGGGAGGAAAGTAAGAAGAAGAAAGAAAGGAAGAAGGAAAATTCTTCTGCTGAAGTGGAAGACGAGATGCAAACTAATGAAGAAGGGGAGAAAAGTAAGAAGAAGAAGGAAAGAAAGAGGGAAAATGCATCTAATGAAGTGGAAAACTACATGAACACTAATGAAGAGGGGGAGAAAAGTAAGAAGAAGAAGAGGAGTAAGAAAGAAATTGTGTCTGACGATGTGGAAGACCAAATGAAAACTGATGAAGAAGTGGACAAAAGTAAGAAGACACGAAAGAGAGAATATGTGTCTGCCGATGTTGAAGACAAGCCAGAAATTGATGAAAGGGATAAAAGTAAGAAGAATAAGGAAAGAAAGAGGGAAATTGTGTCCGGTGATGTGGAAGACAAGTCAGATGAACTTGGTAAAGGAGATGGTGGCAGCAAACACAAGAAAAAGAAAGGCAAGGCGAAAAAGAAAGTTTCAAGTGGAGAAGCTCACAAGGGAAAAGCAATAATTGAAAAAGATATCGAGGTTGCTGATACTTTTGAAAACCCATCACCTCAAGGAAAATCTAAAAGAGTAAGCTTTTCTGATCATGTGGAGGTATTTTTAGATGATAGTCCGAGTGGGGGAGAGAGCATAAGCGATCAAGGAGAAGGCTTAGTACAAGGTAAGCGGTTTACCCCAAAAGAAGATGACCTGGTTAAAAAGGCTGTTTTGGGGTACATAGAGGACCATAATCTAGGTGATGATGGTTTACATATGATTCTCAATTGCATATCATATCCTGAAGTTAAAGGTTGTTGGAAGGAAATATCGGCAGCCTTACCTTGGAGGCCTGCTACCAGTGTGTATTATAGAGGCCACATGTTGTTTGAAAGGGATGAGAGGCGGAAATGGACTGCTGAAGAGTACGAATATATTCGAGACTTCGTCAAGGAACATGGAACAAATTGGAAAACGTTGTCGACAGAATTAAAAAAACATAGATTCCATTGCAAAGATACATGGCGTAGAATCAAACAGATTAATTTGAGGAAAGGATGTTGGGCGCAGGAGGAGTATCAGACTCTGTTTGATTTGGTGAACATGGACCTACACATGAGGGCTCTTGAAGAAAGAAAATCCAAGCATGGCATGTTGCGAGACAATATTTGTTGGGGATCAATTAGTGACAGGTTATCAACCAGAAGCGATGCAACATGCTGCACGAAATGGTACAGCCAGTTAACATCACCGATGGTGCAACAAGGTCTATGGTCTGACACCGACGACTACCGCCTGCTCAATGCTCTTAGTAGCGTTGATGCTCCATGTTTGGAGGACGTGGACTGGGATAATTTGCTTGACCATAGGGATGGGGATATTTGTCGAAAGCGGTGGAATCAAATGGTGAAACACATCGGTGAGTACGGACTCAAGACTTTCTCTGAGCAAGTTGAAGTTCTAGCAAACCGTTATTCTCCTGATTGCATTAAAGCGCGGGAGGAATTTGATAGCAAACCTATACTTCCTTGAGGTCACTGTTTGCAATTCAGCGGTGCAGCTCACTGAATGAAGCTGAATGATGCCGAATTTTTGAAACTGTCTCGACCAACTTTTCCAGTCTATGGTGGATTAGCTGGGGTTCGTATGGCGCCTATTCTATGCTACCCAATTATTCGTTTAAGCACCTGCTTTTCACTTCCAACGCCTCTGCCGCAGGACGGTTTGACCAAAGCATAATTTCGATGCAGCAGTTAAGTGATAGGCTATTCTTGCTGTAGTTGGGAGATGTTACTGGCCGGTTCCTTCTCACAGTGCTCAGGCATTACATATTCTCCCGTGGTTGCTTTAAATCTATTGTTTCCGTTGTCTCAAGTTTTTGGTCCCTCTTTAAGATCCTTTGGAGGTTCAGTTTTGATAGATTATATTCCTTCTCTAATAAACGTTTTGGTTTTATGTTCCTGTGTAATGGTCTTTTATGATGTTTTATTTATGTAATGAGAGGTGGTTCTTGCCCTGGCTGAGCTGGTGTGAACCCTCCTTTTATACAGCCATTTTTTTTTCTCTTTTTTTTTTTTTTTTTTTTTTTTTTTTTTCCCTTTTTTTTTTTTTTTTTTTTTTTCTTTCCCTTTTACCCCCTTCCCCCTGCACCTCATGAGAAGAAGAGTACTAGACGAAATTAATAATAATTAAAAAAAAAAAGAGTTAAATAGGCAATCGGCTTATTATGTCCCTTTTTTCTTTCAGTTGTATTTGAAGGGTCATTTTTTAAATTGGCAAGTAATGAACATGAACTATATTGCGTCAAAGACATAAACCATCGAATAAGGCAGAGATCTTTGGGGTCACAATTGTATTGCTTAGTCGCGTAGAAAACAAAAGAAGCAAATGAGAAGCAACTGAAAGACCTCCTAGTTATCAAGCTGCAGCATCAAATATAAGCATTTTGATCATTCTATGCATTTATTGTCTGACACGCAGACTTCACAAACATGATATATTATCATTTAAACAGAAAATAAGATATCGGAGCATAAGAGTGACAGATGTAGTGATGTTAACATTTCTCCTTTAAACATTTTGATTGCCTTTACGTAGATATTATCATTCACACCTTCTATTGACTCTAGGTACTTAAGACACATTTGGTTATTGAAAATTCACTTGATTTTGAGGGGGATCATTTGGATTGTTGCCCTAGAAGCTTCAGTCCACACCCTCGGAGCTTCATACACCTCCACTGCCCCCTCCTCTCCGTATTTTGGAGATGAAGATCGAAGCCCTGATCGCATATTTTGCAAAATGTTTATAGTTTGTAATTGTTTTTAACTACAGTGAAGACAATATTTGGCATTTAATATAATTCTTTCTTTTAAAAAAAACTACTACTATGCGATAATGATTCTTTTTGTTATATGTTTAAAAATCTTCTGTCAATTTTAGTGTCAATGACTAAAACTGTTAAAATATCAAAGTTTATAAAGTAATTTATTAAAGAAAAAATTTTGGGGACCAAAGTGACTCACCGTTCCTGGTTTAAGAATCAACAGTGCAAATGGCTCAAATTGAAAACTTTAGCTTCTGTAAAAATATTTGATGCGTGAAAATATTCTAAACACATTTACCAAACAAAATCCATGCATTTAAAAAAAAAAAACAGAGAGAAAAAAAATTCATATTTGTTTCATAAATTTAAATTATTATTTAAACTTTTTTATTACAATATTCTTTCACAAAATTTATATGAACGCATGTGAAGTATAACGTACTATTCCAGCCAAAAAAGGAAAAATTTGCAACAGAAGCCCATGATTTCGTGTCATGTGTATACGTCTACAACGTCTAAGGAACATATCAATGTATGTCATTTATGATTTTTGTTTTTTGTTTTTTTTTTGTTTTGAGATAATATGCCATTTATGATTTGTGCATACATGCCTTAATTTTCTCTAATAAATCACATGTCATGCATAAAATCAAATATAATAAGATTTGGTAGGCCAAGAATTGAACTTTTCCAAACACCGCCAAAGGAATAAACACCAATTTGGAGTAGCAAATAAATTCCCAACTTGAATACGCATGGCCAGATTTTGTTGCACCGCAAAAAAAAAAAAAAAAACAACAACAAATTTGGTACTTAATTAAAGTATTATGAACGTGGAAATAGAAATATGAACGAATTTAGGGTGTTTTGGGCTATAATATGATTCGTTTAATTAGCTTAACATAAATAGTTCGGTTGATACAACATATTTGGTAAGACAGAATCCATTTCATGAAAAAGCAAACAAATTAATTGTAGCAAAACATTATCCTGCTCAACATAACCGAATACATTGTCATTTCTCTGCAGCATTAATTTAACACAACTCATGTATTGTCATTTTTCTGCACTTGCCATTCAACATTTAGAGTAAGGAACCAAATTTCACACAAATCCTAGGCGTTACGTGCAGTGTAGCATTTAAGAAGATTCCATATATTTGTATATATTTAAACAAAAGTCACAAAATCACAAGCATATTAACCTACACATTCTATTGTTGACCACCATTCAAATCTATCTTCTTTCTCCCTTAATTGACACAAAATCCCATGCATGCAGAGACTCTTTAAGTCTCAAAAGGCATCTTTTTTTCTTATATAGGCTCAAAATCAAAGAACCAACCAACCAAATTCCTTTCAAGTTGCCAGCGAAGATGAATTCAGAAATAAGTAGCACTGGTCCCTCCGCCAAGCGCTCGAGATCAAAAGACCGCCATACAAAGGTGAGCGGCCGCGGCTGCCGTGTCCGCCTCCCTGCGATGTGTGCGGCGCGTGTGTCTCAGCTCACACGCGAGCTCGGTTACAAAACCGATGGTCAGACCATAGAGTGGCTCCTAGAGCATGCACAACTTCCATCAATTGGTGCAGCTGCCACAGCCACATGCACAGGAAACGGCGTCGTTTTGGGTGGTGAAACTAATGCCAATTCTTCGCTTCCTCCTAGTTGCTCTGAGAGTGTTTGTGAGAAAAAAGATCATGTGGTCAAGAAGTGCCATTCATTTTCTAGGGACCAACCGGCTTTTGATTTTGATCTTTTGACCAACTTTGACATGGAATTTTCAGCCAATGAGATCGCGTTATTGCAAGCACTGACGTCCGAGACACAAGAGGAAGAGGCGGAAGAGGAAGAAGATAAAAGGAAAGAGTAAATCTATGAGCCTTTAATCAACTTCTTTTTATATGATTCTAGTGTTTGAGGATAATTTTGTAGCATTGGATTAATTCATGTTCTTTACAATTTACTTTAATGTTTTAATTCGATTTTTATGTTTGCTTAAATTCCGTCAGGATTGAGTTGTTCAAAGTTTTCTAGGTGATTTGGTAGTGGTGTCATTTTTATTGCATAGAAATCAATAGAGACCAGATTTTATTAATGGGTGTGTTCTTTTCCTTATTTTCTTCTTTGAACCCTTCTGAAATAATAATATTGAATCCTTTTTAAGTTGGAGATATGTGCAAAAATAACCCTTTTTTGAGCTATTTTTTTTGGTAAATGACTGAAGTTCTAAATGATAATTTACCAATGATAAATAGATAAATCGATGATACATTGTTTTACCATTGATTGATTTAGGTTGATAACTATCAATTAGTAATAAACTAATTTCAGTTCATAATTTATCGGTTCATCAATGATAAACTATTAGTAAATTAATAATAGACTGATTTACATCGTTTTACCATTGATTGATTTAGGATGATAACTATCAATTAGTAATAAACCAATTTCAATTCATAATTTATCCGTTCATCAATGATAAACCATTAGCAAATTAATAATAGACTGATTTACATCGTTTTACCATTGATTGATTTAGGATGATAACTATCAATTAATAATAAACCAATTTCAATTCATAATTTATCGGTTCATCAATGATAAACCATTAGCAAATTAATAATAGACTGATTAGTGCTTGATCACCGTAAAAGGGGGGGGAAAAAAAAACCATTTCCCTGGCCATTAATTTTAAAGGGGTGGCAGCCATCTCCCCTATAAGTTGCTTCTTTTAGAGGCTAAATTTTGTCACGAAAATTATTAATCTTCTGGTTAGTATATATACATCACACTAAATATACGCATTCACAACCTGAAATTTAGACAATGTATCGTTGTCGCTCAATTAAAAAGCTTTAACGCAGTTGGATCCTCCAGTCACTTGAGAAGTATATTGAGAATAATATTTCTTTTTCTTTCTGCTATAGAGGCGTTGAAAAGAGCCTAATAAAAACAATCAATATCAAGGCAGTAAACATAAGTAGAATATTCCAAAAGGGGTTGGAATTAAGGCTGATAATATAAGTTACGATACGACAATATGATTTAAAAACGACATGAATTTCGCGTTAGGGTTGAGAAAAAAGATATTCGGATCAGAATTGAGTTGACCTGAAATTGACACGAAAACACGAGTCAATTTTAGGTTAAACCCGCCTAACCCGAACACGACACGAAACTCATAAAAAAACTAAAAAATACATATATTTTTCATTACATATTTTTAATTTTATTATGAACTTGTGATATCATGATAATTATACTCAAAATCTTATACTATTATTTACTTAATTTCAATGGATGTTATTGTATTTTAATGTGTTATGAATTTTAAATTATTTTTAATATGTAAAAAACTAAATAAAAATAAAAATATACAATTTTTATGTCAATTTCGGGTTTACGGGTTAATTTCATGTCACGGGTCATTTTCGTGTCGTGTCGTGTCAACCCGTAAAGTGATCGTGTCGTGTTCATGTTGCCGTTTTTAAAAAATTTCATGTTCGGATTAACTGTAAATTTAAAAAGAAACGATCAAAATACGACACGTGACACGAATTGCCACCTCTAGTTGAAATAAAATAGTGAATATCAAGCTAAAACAAGGTTTGAGAAATGCTAACGTCACTTTTTCTGGTATTCTCTGTCACTTTTTTGTATTCACTGTTTAACACGGACTCTATTATCTCATTTTCTGTTTAAAGTTCATATGTCAAACAGTAAATACACAGAGTGACAGAAAGAGTAGTACTAACATTTTTCAACAAAATTTACATATGAAAATACTTTATTTATAGAAGTGCACTGCGGACAAGAGTAGTCACATCAAAGAACATGTACAGAAGATGTCTTATGCTTAGGCGGCTTAAGATCCAAACTGAGGAATTTTCCCCGGAAAAGGTGTTCATAAAAAATAAAAATATATAAATTATGAGAGAAGTCCATCCTTTCCATTCAATCATTGGAACTCATCCACCGACTCCAAATACTCATTTTGTAGCATCCACCGTTTCTTCTTCTTCTTAGTCTCGGATGTGGGTAAATCTAGATATGAACCACAAATATACACAAATGATTATCATGATTTTGAAATGGTTGCAATGCAAGATATATTTGAAAAGGTTGCAATGCAAGATATATTAAAGCATGAGAAATAAGCAATAATACAGTGTGGTGGGAAACGTATCAGTAAACCCAGCCAAACATGCATAAACCAGATACAGAACAATAAACATAAACATTTGAGAAAAAAAAGACTTGTTTTACTCGGTTTGATGATATTACCAGGAAAGTAATGTTGGTCAGGGTGATATTCTTCATCTATCCATTGTCATTTTTACCTTACCATTTTTTTTTTTCTTTTTACTCTCTTCGTATTTGTACTTTATTTTGTTATTTCCAAATATCAATTTTATTTCTTCACTGCCAACATAAAAGAAGTTGGCTGTCATCTCTGTATTGGCAGCCAAATCAATGAGAGATATTGGGCACGTTTAGAACTCGTTTTAAAATAATTTTATTTTTTGTATGAAAATAAAAATGAAAACGTTTTTAATCTCAGACAGAAATCATTTTTAAAAATGCGTTTGGTAATTTTATCAAGAGATTGTTTTCAATATAAAAAAACTCATTAATGTCTCTCTCTCTTTTTCTTTGCTCGAAAGAGGAGAAAACGAAAACAAAAAATGAAAAATGACTAAAAGTCGTTTTTCATTTCTCTCTCATTTCACACTAAACCAAAAAATCGTCTTCACTTCCGTTTTTGTCTTTATTGTGTCAAACGCCGTTTGAAAACGTTTTCATTTTTTTTCTCGAAAAACGTGAAAAATAAAAACGGGATCAATTCCAAATACGGTCATTAAGTCTTTAAAAATATTCCTCAAAAGCCAGTAGAACTACATAGCCATTAAAACTTGACGGCCTTAATCAAGAACCACATTAGAGATTATTTCCAATAAAGTTCTGATCATTTCGTTTTTCAACTAATATTAAAAAAGAGGAGAAAGTTGTATAAAGTATAGATTCTAACCTCCTTCAGGATAAATTGAGTTGTAATGCACCTCCGCCCAAAAGCTTAAACAAATAACTGCAACATAAACGTTAAGATTGGAAAGTTATGGATCTTTTGTGCGTGCAGTCTCTGCTAATCCAAATTGTTGGAAGAAAATGCACAACATGCAAATACAAATTGCTACATGCTTCTTGCTATTTCTCTTCATCCGCATTCTCCTCTTTTTCCTTTCCTAGCCTTAAAAAAAAAAAATCCCTCTTCCACTCTAAAGACATAAAAGGAAGTTTAAATAAGCAACTATACTACCTTTTCTTGACTTTTCAACATTGGGAAGAATCTCAATGTAGCAGGTTTCCTTGAAAGAAGTCATGACAAATATTTTAACTCCATACTGCAATCGTGAATACAATTAGGAATAGAAGATTATATATATATTACTAACTAATAACAACACAAGTATAAATTCTATTGATCCTGAAGCATATGATAATCACGGGAAGTTGCTCGAGCATACCGAATCTGCGGCAGCCTGTAATGTAACATGATCCCCCCATTCACCGCTCCTATTTTCATCAAGATGAAGCAAAAGCTATGTAAGAGTTTATCAATCAAACAAATGATCAAGTCAACTAGGAACAGGCAAATACTTGGACATCTTCTCCAAATAGTCACCATAAGCCATTGGGACGTATCCTTCATATGTATCTGGGTATGACTTAAGCTGATCTTTCAAGAAAATTGCAGCAAAAGACAAGTTAAATACAAGTCTATTGAAGTAACACCAGAATAACTCAAATTTCGTGGTAAAAAGCTAACATGCTGGCCATAGTTAATGTCGGCATACCTGATTGACAACTTGTTGTCTCACAAACTCGTGGTGCTCTGGAGTACGATAAAACTGATCTGACAGAGCACGGAACTGGGAAAAATGCAGTACTTATAAGACCCCAGATCAATTTTACATCATCCTTCGTAATATATAATACACAAATTTCACAAAAACAGGGCAGTCAATCAGAAGAATAAAGAGACAAAATTTTTTATCCTATCTTATAAGCAATAAGCATCTGAATAAATTTGATTTACATTCACACTACTTGCTTGGTACTTGCGACAGTAAATTGCAACATAACCGTTGGAACTTTAGAAATGGATAAACAATTAGGTAAGAGTTCCAAGATGTTACAACCATCTTGAATCAATAACAGAAAACTCTCTCTGTATCTAAGCTTCATGTGATTGATTTTGGGATATTGACGGTTTCCTGATTACGAAAATTCCAGACTTAAACTAATTGGACGAACGGAGTGATTATAAACAGAGGGAAAGTTCAATAGACTAAAGAAATACTGTTTTAGATACGAGACATTAGTTCAGAGCATTTATACTACATTTCTGCCAAATTATTATACTAGATCAAGCATTTACTACGATTCTACAATTTTTATCTCACTTGTCACGAACAAGTAGACATTTAATCATGCCAATCCTTTCAAGAAAAAGGTTAATTCCTGCATTACAAAAAAGGTTAATTTCTGATTGCATGAGCTTTTGCATTTTATGTTAGCAAGAATTTAGTTAAAAGCAAAAAGCTCACAACATCATGTAACAACGGCGCAATAAAGTATAAACCGCGTGAAGAGAAATAAAAATAATAACCTGACAGTTACCATCTCCTTGAACCCTACGTTCAACCCACTTTCCACACTGCAACCTACAGACATATCCAGCATTTAGATTCTACGTTGAAGTTAGGTAATAAGTATATAACCCTTGAATCAATGACATGTGAAATTAGAAAAACACAAGATCAATAGCCTATACAATCTCTGGTATTGCGTGATAAGATACTATTATTTCATCAATTGTAGCTGAAGGGATGTGGATATTTTGTCTCTTTTAGAATATATGTCCGCATGTTTGAATAAGCATCATAGATGTTTGTTACAACTTACAAGTTATTTTATCCTGAACTAAGTTCACAAGTGAGGCACACTAGTAAGCCAACCGTGATAAGTGTGGTCAAACACATGTAATTAGAAATCAACAAGACAACTTTACTCAGTTGACATGGTGGAACTAGAAGCTAAAACCTATTCTAGTAGGCTTTAATGCAGAAGTATCTTTACAAAAAAAATCTAGAAAATATCATCAGATGAGCGAAAAAAATACCTGTCTAAAAGCCTTTGATGATCTACAGTTGCTTCATCAACCGAGGGTATTTCACCATTGGTTCTAGGAACATGCTGCAACAAACCAGCAACATAAAAGAGCAATTACAGTCTGAGAATGCTGTAGTCATAAGCACGCATGCATATAAGCCCCATCACCAAGAGGAAAAACAAAGATGAAAAAAATGATGAGTTAAAAATCATCCTGTATTGAATGCAAGCATCATCTCGGTTCCTGTTTTATTTGTAACCTTACGGAGACATAGTTCACCACAGGCAACAAAACAATTAAATTTTGAAGTATGAGTCTGACAAACAATACAACGGCGTTAAATAATTCTTAGTTATTCAACAACTATTATCCTCAACCTTTGTCATAAAAGTATAATACAGCCTCATAAAATAGTAGAGAACCCAATACGTGGTAAGAAAGAATTTTTCTTACAAGATAAATCAAAGCATGAAATGTCATCACAAGTCTACACTCAATTTAGCTGGAGGCTTTCACATGACATGAGCTACAAAATTCATAACTACCCCCAATATGAATCCATTTGTAAAAGAACTTAATAAGAAAGTTTTATTGGCAAAGTAACTTCCCAAAAAATTTTAATGGCAAAAGGTCTATGGAACGACCAGGAATAACCACTTTTTACAAAAAAAAAAAAAAAAAAAAAAAAAAAAAAAAAAAAAAAAACGATTACACAGTCGTTTTGTAAACATTAAAAAGATCATTTTGCTAAATTCACTTTGTCGGGACTCATCCTATCAAACTTCACCCGCATAACAAAACAAACACTTGTTACTGCACTTACAGGAATGGGAACCATCTGGTTCAACCTTTTCCCCACTTCTCCAACGAGAGCAAACTCATCTATAAGCCCCAGCGAATACAGCCACTCATCCGCACAGTACGAAACCTCTTCCGGGCAAGAAGGCTCATCATCATCCGCCCCTTCCTGACCACTCTCCTTTCCTGCAATGTCCACCCACCGAAATTAGCTACCAAAACAATGCATAACTCTAAAAACCAAACAAATTCGAATCCGCGTTCTTTACCGCATCCATAATTCTCCGCTGCGGATTCATCCGATTCGGGCCAATCCTGCGAAAATCCCGACACTTGCAAATGTTCAATCCCTTCTTCATCTGTAGATCCGGGCTCATCCAAAATTGCAAGTTGAGACAGTTCCTCTTGCAGAGCATGAGCAATAACCTCATCATTCTCAACATTTCTACTATCAGAATCCGAATCATAACTTTCTTGTTTGAAATACTCAGCCTGATGATAGTAATCACTATCACAATCGTCTTGAATTACAGTTCCAAGATATCCACAGTTAGAGTAAGGGTCACTATCAAATAGCTGAAGACCCCACCGTACCACATCAGGATCTTGCTCGTAGGTAAGCATTTTTCTCACACTTTATATATATATATATTTATTTGTACAAATCAACGGTGAACACAATACTGGCGCAAAATCTAGTCTTCTTGCATCATCGTCGCCAACTTTCCTGCGAAACAAACATCAGGAAAAATACATTCAACATGCCAAAAAAGAAAAAAGAAAAAAAGAATAGAGATATGAATTTCATCAAATCATCATAGTTCTGTGATCGAATCGGAGTACCTTCCGAGTGAGTCAGATCAACGGTCTACGTCCGATCCAGACAGAACAATGGCGCTCCGAAATTTGTATGAGATAAATTAATAATTTTTTTTTTTTTAAATACACTCTTTTTGGGCACAATAAAATAAAAATAAGTAAATAATGTAACGGAGAGCTTGGGTAACAAGCGGACTCGAGACGCCACAAAAGAGAGAAGTGAAGTGAAGTGAAGTGAAGAGAAAAGAAAGAAGATGAGAATAATATGAGAGAAGGCCCAACTTGGAAGAGACGGACGTCACGAGGTTTTTGTTGGCTACTTGACAGTTCATAGTGTTCCCGGGCTCCAGTCTCCCAGATATTCTCTCCATTCTGAGAGTTTTGTTGTTTGTATTTGCCCTATTCTTATTCCTGCCCTCAAAAGAATATTTTACTTGAATTCATCAAATTAATTTTGATTTAAATTATTCTAATAAAACCGTCCACTTCACTAATTTAAATTTAAAATTTGAGTTTTACTTCAGTAAAAAGCTCTCAGAAACAATCACATCTAATTTTTTTACTACAGTAAAAAACTCTCACATAAAATCACATCTCAACTCGAATTAAAAACTCAAATCAGTGAACTAAACGGGCCCATAATATTCTACTACTTTTTTGACATTTTCCATCACAAAAAGCCGTGAAATTTTGTCATTTGATTTTAAAGCTGGATTTTAAGATATTTCTTGGGGTGTTACCAAAAAACTTAAATATATATTTTTTTTTATATATTTTGAGGTTTTTTCTCTTTAAAAATAAATTATCGTTTTTAAATTATCGGCAGTTTTTTATTTTTTAATTGTTATATGTGTATTAAATCTGTTTATTCTAAATATTTTTTTAATTTAATGAGATTTTGATTAGATTTAACGGTCAAAATTGAAATTTTCGGTAGGCAGACTATCGGAAAAACTCACTTATTTTTTGGCCTCGTTCGTTTTGCGGATTCGAGTTTTCAATTCGAGCTGAGATGTGACATTTTTTTTAGAGCTTTTAACTGTAGCAGGAAAAGTTAAATGTGACATTTTTTAAGAGCTTTTAATTGTAAAAATCTATAATTAAAAATTCAAATCGGTGAAATTAACGACATATTTATATTTTAGGTTCCTTTATTTATTTATGGCCCTAATCTTGAACTTATATTATATTATTTCTTAGGTACGAGGTTGGATGGACATTGGATATGGTCTTTTTGCTATGACATAAACATAGATAGTTCGGTAGATGTCTTTTTCAGTGACATATTTTTTCCTAAAGTTTTTCTGCGAGTATCTTTGAAAGGCGAATAATAGAGTATAGACCGTTTTTGCTGAGTGACATGCTTTTTTATTTTTATTTTTTATATATATATAATTTGCTGAGTGACATGTTAGATGATGACATTGACGCTACAAAGGTGACCCATGTCGTGCCTTTTAATATGTGGCATCACTAAACAAATTTGTCTAATACGTGGTTGTTAATTGTTTTTGAGCTAAATAGGAAAAAGAGGATATCATTGTTTTGAGCTACAACAATATAATTGCAGTAAAAACGAGTTCATCAGTACCAGTGTACGGACTCGGACATGTCCGAAAATATACACTCTCCTACCTGCTCGCCGCCGTAGAGAAGTCGTTCCCCGCCGTTCGTCAGAATTTTTTTGAATTTTTTGACAATACCCGAAGTTGCCCGAATTTGTTTTTACCGTTGGCCCGAAAAATGCCCGAATTTTGAACAAAACGAGTCTTTTTGCCCGAACCTGAATTTTACCTGAAAATTTAAACCCAACGGTCGGATTTCTTACCGTTGCCTGACCTGCCCGATTTTTGCCGAACTACCCGAAAATATACTAGTCGTTGGACTCGAATTTTTGGGGGAAATTTTTTTTTTTTTCAACCCAAAAATTTTCCTATAAATACCCCCCTTCCCCAACCATTTTCCTCACCTAAAAACTCTCATTCTCTCTCAATTTCTCTTAATCTCTCTTAATCTCTCTCAAATCTCTCTTAATCTCTCTCAAATCTCTCTTAATCTCGCTTAAATCTCTCTCGATCTCTCTTAAGCTCTCTCAAAGCGCTCTCAATCTCTCTTATTTTCCATAATGGCTTCTTCTGGTTATGGTGGTGATATTCCTATTGATGTCCAATCCAACATCGAAGAAGGGCAATTTCTTAATATTTTTCAAACGCAGGAATCGCAAACTATGGAAAGAGTTGCTGATGAAACTGCAAATCCGACCCCTGGTGGACGTACTAGAGGTCAGGGACGTAATGGTGGTGGCACAAGTGGCCGTAGAGGAGAGGCAAGTGGTAGTGCTAGTGCAAGTGTTGCAAGTTCTAAGAAGAAATGCAAGCGCACCTCAGCAGTTTGGGAGCACTTCAACACATTCGAGGAGGTCGATAATAACGGTAACATTAAATACGTAGCTCAATGTAAATATTGTGGTGAGAAATTACAAGGTAACACTATTCACGATACTACACACTTAAGAAGACACTCTGAAAAGTGTCTTCAAAAGCAAGGAGGCGGAGCTGATCTCCACCAAACGCAATTATCGTTTGATCGCCAAACCGGCGGTCTAAGCACGTGAAAATACGATCCGCAAGTTGATCATATGATTAAAATTGTACATAATCCTAATGCACAATTTTTTTCTAGAACTACTCTTAGGAAAGATGCATTAAAATTATATAAACAAGAAAAAGATATTTGGTCCGCCGTTGCCAACAAGGATTATTTAGCTGTAACCGGACATTATTATAAAGGTTTTGATTTGGATAAGGGAATCTTAGGTTTTAAATGTGTTATATGATCACATACTGCCAATTTAATATATAACACAATTTTATCTGTTATTGATGAATATAGTTTAAGAGATAGAATAATGGTCATAACATTGGATAATGCAACTGCAAATACTAAAGCAATAGAACTTTTTGAACTTGATTTAAGTTTATTTGGTAATAATGATATTTTCCACCAACGTTGTGCATGTCATATAATTAATTTAATAGTAAAGTCCAGTTTAAAATCAATGTCAAGTCATATTAAAAGAATTAGAGATAACATTGCTTAGATTCAAGGTAGTAATCAAAGAATACAAGATTGGTTTAGATTTCTACAAGCATGTAATCAAAATCCTAGAGCATTAGCCTTAGATATGCCCATAAGATAGAACTCCACTTACATAATGCTTGAACAATGCATCCCCTATAAAGATGCTATAACAAATTATGTTAGTGCAAAATTAGGAACATGATTTATAGATGAAACTGATTGGCAAATTGGTGAACTTTTGTATAACTTTTTAGGTAGATTCACGAAGTTACCTTAAAGCTTAGTGGAACTTATTACCCAACTTCACCATTAGCGTTAGGAGAACTTTTAAGAATGTCTATTTTATTTAGTAAATTTAGGACACACGAGGTTTTAGGAGTTCCTATCGCCTTTATGGAAAAGAAGTTTAAAAAATATTGGTCTAAATTACTCATGTTGTAACATTACTCATTAGATCACTTGAGAGATTTTTTAGAGGCTATTGATAAAAGATTCCTGAGAGCAAAAATTGTTTAATTCTCAAGAACAATTTTTTCTTTGGCTCTTTATGATTGGAAGGAGATCAAGAATACCTAGAGGAGATTAAACGACGTGTGCCCACCCGTACACCGATTGTGGAAACGAGAATAGCAAAGAAGACCAGTTGGTTGAGGCTCTTCCGGTTGCTGTTTGGAACGCTTAGATCTGTCAGACGTGCAGTTTCCTGAAATCTCAAAATGTATGTTTTAGATCTTTAGTATTTATGTTATATAGCATCATGAGCATGTTCTTGTTTGGCTTTGACGTTGATTAAAATTTTTAAATTCCGCTGCGCACTCGATGCCATTAATTTTCCAATAGGATCTTCATCAAGAGGTGGCGGCAACAGTGGCGGCTTCAACGAGTTAATGGCGTACCTGAGTGAGGGCTTAGTTATAGACAATAGTGACTTAGTTATAGACAGTAGTGAAATGTTTGACTTGGTTGAGTGGTGGAGGGCACGAGCATTAACTTGGCCGATCCTAACACGACTGATAATGGATATTTTTTCAATCCCGGTCTCCACCGGATTTGGTTCAGTGGTGGAAGGCATACGTATTAACTTGGCCGATCCTAACACGACTGGTAATGAATATTTTTTCGATCCCAATCTCCACTGTTGCAGCCGAACAAACATTCAGTGCAACCGGCCGAATACTTGAAGAATGGGGAAACGCATTGCAATAGGATATTATTGAAGCTTTGGTGTGCATCAAGGATTAAGATCGTTCCGACCAATGCTTACACGATACAATCTCACTGGCAAGCCAAGAATGGATCGACGAATTTAATAGATTAACTTTTAATTTTCAAGACGATCATTCTGCTTCAAATTAAATTTTATTATTCTAATTTGTAAATATTTATTTACTTTGTAATTTCTAATTTGTATAGTGTTATTGTAATCTTGTATAGACTTTGTAAGTTCGTCAAATTTGTACATCGTCTTACAATGATTGCACTCTTTTTTCCTTACTAAGTTTTTATCTCAATTGAGTTTTTCTTGGTAAGGTTTTTAACGAGACAATCATGAATTACAATTTAAAAATCAATAAAGAAATAATTTTTTTTATATAATTCGTGTGTTCATTTCAAATTTTAAATTATAATATATATATAATATAAAAATATTACAAAATTTGGACATTTTCGGTCGGGCAACGGGCAGCTCAACCAGGCATCGGGCACATTGTAGTTATACAAATACTTATACAACATAAAAATATAATATAAAAAAATTTTGAAATTTGGGCAGCCGGTCGGGCATCGGGCAACCCGACCGGGCACGGGCAGGCACTTCCTGCCCGAAGCCCGTCCATGGGCAATTTTTGGGTCGGGTCGGGCAGCCCGAATGTTCGGGCAGTTCAGATTCGGTACTCGGGCAAAAATTTAGACTTTTCGGTGGTCACGGGCGGCCCGTCTAAAGTTTCAGCACTAATCAGTACATATCTTTTCTTGTTTGGACGTAATTAAATATTTGACAGGATTTGTGTGCTTAACTGCACTGACCGAGCTACATAACTGTTAGGAGAGAATTTAGTAACAATATTTAACCTAAAACCTTTTATCGTTCTCTCTCGTGAATCTTTAAGGACTTGTTAGGTTTATGGGTTCAAACTAAGTATTTTGAATTAGAATTTAAATTTTTAAATTTTTAAATTTTTGTGAGAGATAACACTATAACAAAATTTTTAAAATTTAAATTTTTATGAAAAAAAACATTGTATTAAA